CATACGTGACAAATCTCACTGAGGTGCCGGTGAATTTGCCAAAAGAAATTCATGACATCATGGCTCGCGCAAATCGATGCCGAAGTGAGGGACAGACCAATATGAACGAGCATTCATCCAGGTCGCACATGGTTCTGTATATTGTGGTTCGAACAACGAATAAACAGACGAGAATGCAGAGCTTTGGAAAGCTTTCTTTGGTTGACTTGGCCGGGAGCGAACGACTTGAAAAGAGTGGTGCGGAGGGGCAACAGATGAAGGAAGCAGTTTCCATCAATAAATCCTTGTCCGCATTAGGAGACGTCATCTCTGGGCTTGCACAGAACAACAAGCACGTTCCTTTTCGGAACTCTGTTTTGACGTTCCTTCTGCAGGATTCCATGTCCGGACAGGCGAAGGTTCTCATGTTTGTGTGTGTCAGTCCTGCAAGCTACAATTGCAGTGAAAGCAACAGTTCCCTGCAGTTTGCGTCCCGTGCCCGTGGCGTAGCGTTTGGACAAATCAAAAAGAACACCGTGGTAGCGACTTGAGAAAGTTGGGTAGGAGGCGGGGTGGTGGTGTGTCTCTGTGGCCTCTTGTTTTTTTCCTTGAATTCCCTGCGTCTACTCACGCCAAAATAGCTGATAAATGCTTTTCTACTCCATCAAAGTAGGAACATTTGTCAGCGAGAGGGAATGTGAGAGAAGCAAGAAAAACACGCGCACACACCGAAAAAAAAAAAAAAGAATAAATAAATACGAATGGACTACGCACAGCGGACCCTATATTAACAAGACAATTGATATATCCACTCCATCGCCTGAAGGAGTTAATACATATATATATCAATTTCTGAGCCCATGAGAATGTGAAGTTTTTCTTGCTGTTGTTGTTTCTCGTTTTTGGTAGAAGGTTTTTAAAAGAGCGCGGACGACGATGAGAACTTTTGAAGTGCTTTCTTCACATGGAATGCTTTTATGCTTACTTTTTTTTTTAGTGGATCCATGAATTGGCCGGGATTGAGCCTCAGGAACGTGGTGGACTGTTCATGTTTCCTTCCCGCCCACCCTCTTTGGGCCGGCCTCGCTGCGTGGGGTCGCGGGCCTTTGGGTGTGGGCAGCGGGGTGGGCTTAAGGAAGCCGCCCATTCGAAGGCAGCAGGCGGGTGTAAGACTCGAAATTCATGTGTAAGATGTGTCTTTTTGTTTTTGAGCCACACCAACCTTTGGCGCATTGGCCGGTTTTTTGTAGATTGTTTTTTTTTTGCCTCATGATTTTTTTTTTCTCTCCTTTTGGCTGACCGCGAGGCAACCGTTGAATAAAATTTTTTGTGTGATTTTGTTCTTTTCCGTTTTTTGCCCTTTTTCCTGCGGTTTAGGAATTCATTATTTGCTTGTAGTGTCTTTGTCGCTGTTGCTGGCGGTCCGCGTGTCTGTGTGCGCATGCGGAGATCGGCGTGAGAGGACGATACTAATGTTCCCCGTCCTCCGTGAGAGGGTGCAGGAGATGGATGGATGAAATGCGTTTAATGGCGATTGACAAAAACACGGAAAGAAAAGGAAAAAAGAAACGAGAAGAAAGACAAAGAAAAAAAAAAAGTAGGGGGAAATATGGAAAATGATACGAATGGGGAGTGGAGAAGGGGAAAAAAAGAATAACGGGATAAAACAACAAAAGAAGGAATTCCACACCGCAGTACTAGTCATGTGTGAGCGCGTATTTTCTCCCCATTTTCAATGGATACCTTTTTTCATCAAAAACGGCTTTTCCTCCTTGTATTTAGTCTGCCGTGGTGTGCTCTGCGATCGCAAGATAACTCTGCTACAAAGAAGAGGTGGGAGGAGGGTCTGGTGCGTCGGGAAACTCTGGCCTTGCTGCCGTCCTGCTTGATCCATGTCTACCCAATAACAAAGTGCATGTGTGCTCTTTTTGTTGTTGCTCTTGTTTTTTGAGGGGTTTGGAAAGAAGGGGTCTTACATTTCCCCCCCTCACGGTCTTTTAGAGTTTACGACGCGACGGTGGCTAGGCGAAGGATACTAGGCACCCATCTCCCATCTATAGCTTCAGTAGAGTCAATAAAGAGAAGAAGGATTCCGGCATACATATACGTATTATTAACTAGCAAGAGGACATCAACTTAAGAATTCAACAAGCGGAAGTTCATCCGTAAAAATAAATAGAAGACTCATTATCATCAAGAAGAATTTGCTTGTCTTGTTGTCTTAGTTTAGTTTTTTTTGTTTGTTTGTTTGGTTGTTTTTTACTTTTTACAGTTTGGTGTATTTGATTGATAAATTTTACACCTCTACTCTGAGGTGTGGTTTTGTGGAGTGTACTGCCTGTGTACGCGAGTGAAGGAGAAGCGCATAGCGGTATTTATCATTGTAACACAAAAGAAGGGATTAGAGCAAAGAAGGAAATAAAAGGAAGTAACCCCCTCCCCCCAACAGAGAGAAAAGGAAAGAAAAAAAAAAAAAGGAGATTGTCAAAGTTCTTGTTAGTAATTTGGCGGTTCATGATGGAATACATAGTAGGATCAGGTGCATCCGATTGGGCACGTCTTGAGTTGAACAAACCGGGTCGTTCCAAATTGTACGATCTCCACTTGAATAGGAATGTTCACGGAGGGATTTGTGTGAAAAATTCTCAGCCACATGACCCCGTTTATTGTGGTTGGCGCCAATTCAACGAATTACCTCCGCAATGTGCGCGAAATTCTTCTACCTTGACCTCTTTCGGCGAAAACGAAGGTGTGCCATCCGATAACAAGCGTCAAATTGGGCCGCCGTCCTTGTGTGGGGAAGACAAATGCCCATTAGGAGAGAAAAACAACCTGGATTTTTTACAAAATCCGGAACTGTCATCGTTTTACGGCAGTGTGCTTGATTTACTTCATGATCAGTCGTCCGAAATGCCCTGGCATGCAGCAACAACGGATCGCCCTGGGGATACTGCTACACATACTCCTGCGCTTTCCCAGACAGACACCACATTGCCCACAACTCTCTGTGGGCTTTTTATCAGCGATAAAACGTGGATAAACGGATGCCCATCCAGTGATGAGTGGAAGACGCCCGCGCCCGTCATGAAGAATAATGCCGGTTGTAATTTGGCGCCCCCGTTGGTGACACCTGTGGGTGAGCTTCCCGTCCCTTGGAACCCAGAAGACTCTCCTGAGCATTGGAAGAAGGTCCCCGCGCAGACAACTTCTCACCGCTTGATGGGTACGACGGAGGGTGAGGTGATATGTTCTTCCTTACCAGAGAGTGTCATTCCATCCTGTCCGAAAGGTAATTTCATTAAGCAGCTCCTGGCACAGTTAACAACAGGTACAAATGAAACTTTTGCAGTGACTTCTGAGAAAAAATTGACTTTGATGTCAAAAAAACCCGAAGTCAAGCCTATTCCGATTGATTTGATTGCCATTGAGAGGCCATTAACCGATTTTTGTGATGTGCCACTGGTGAACAACGGAATGGTAAAAAGAAGCGAGTGTTCAAGTGGAACTCTTCTAAGTGTGACATCTCCCGGCGGCATGATGCCGTCGTGTTGCAAGCCGCCACCCGCTGTTGGCTCTTCACCAATTTCTTCTCCCCGAGAAGGAACGCTTGAGATGGGGGGTTGTGTGACCAATGGTGATAAGAATGGACGCCTCATTGGTGTCGTACCTTGGCAAGGAAATAATTTAGTGGATTCGCCGCGAACGACTTACAGCGGTGATTGCCATTCCGGTCATTCCTCCCATTCATATTGGCACACCCCTTTTGTATTTGCCTTGAATCGGAAAATTTTAGGTGAATTGCACCGCAACTCGCCTCAAAGTGTTGATTCCAGGGATTTGATTGATGGTTTATCCTTCAGTGCACTAAAGTCAGTGGAAGAATGGCCTCCACGAAAAAGGAAAGATGTATTACATTTGTTAAAACGGTTTCAAGCGAGGGATCTTCTGCAACACCTTCGTGTCGTGAGCTTCTCGTGGAAAAGCCCCGAAGGCGTGTGTCGGTTGCTTGAGTCTTGGAGACGTAGAGGCATCTTCCCACCGGATGTCCAGTTTGGGGTTTACTACTGGTATACCATGAAATGGGGATGCGAGAGATTGTGTCTAGAGCACAATGGCTGTGGATCTTTGGCAGAACAAGGACGAGGTTGCGAATACGCATTGAGGGGGTTTCGACGTAAGTGTCGTTACCCTCATAGATGTCTGTTCTGTGGAGCGGAGGATCATGGTTGGACTGAAGAGAAGCGTTGCAAACGGTATTTAAGCCTTCAGAGAGAGATGGAGCGACTGGGCGTGACAGACGATGTCGCGTTAATTCTCCTGGAGGCATTTGGATGCGAGGAGTAGAATACGTTCTGTTTTTGTTTTTTTTTTTAATTATTAGGAACGATATTTACGCCCGGTCTTCCAGTCACTGCTTCTTTATTAATGGAATTGCTATATATGGATAGAAGCATATATGCATTGGAGATGATAATAATAATAATAATAATAATAACAGTAAAAATGATAATGATAATAGGTTGTTTCCTAGTGCTTGACCCATGTGTGAAGCAAACCTTTATATAGCTCTGTAAGGATACATAAATATTTGTATATGCATACATTCACTTTTAAGAAACCACTTTTTTTTTTTTTTTCTTACTCTCTCTCTCTCTCCCTGTCAAAATAATAGTGAGGATATTAACATGTGATATCGCCCAGACGTTGTTGTTGTTTTTTTCTAAATTCCTATCTCTTTTATTTAAGTTAGATGGACGTACGTTTTTGTCTTCAACGAGCTTTTGTGACTTTTTATTATTATTTATTTATTTATTTATTTATTCAGAAAAGGATTTTTTTCTTGATTATTATTTATTTATTTTCTTTTGAGTAGATCATACATATATATATATAATTCATCTATTTGTGTGTGTGTGGACGCATGTATTCCGTGTTGTTGTTTGTGCTCCGTAGCAATGATATTAGTGAGTCTGTGAGTGAGTGAGTGAGTGAGTGAGTGAGAGGCAGGAACAAACGAAGCAAAGGAAAAGGAAGGCCGAGTTAAAATAAATGAATAAAATTAAATTATTGAGAGGAGATCTTTTCTTGGCTTGGAGAGCCACATAAACAGAATACATTTAGAGGTATATGATTTATGCGTGCAGAAATCTTTTTTTTTTTTTTGTTTTTCTTGTGTGTGTATGCTTGAAAAGGGTGGGATTATTTTGTCTTCTTTTTTTTTTTTTTTTTTGCATGCGGTTTGGGCGCTCATGCTTTGACTGTTGCTGGGTTTATTTGTTTTTTGTTTTTTCACTTTCTTGTGTGTGTGAATTTTTGATGTGCGGGAGGGATCCGCTTTTGCGATTCAATTGTCTTTGGCGATGTTGTCTTTTCATTATTATTATTTTCTTTCACTTTCTTTGTCTGCACTTCCTTCAAGTGTTGTTTGTTTGTTTGTTGCATCCCACGCGCTGTTCCTCTCGGACAAGGCGATACACACGCAAGGCAGGAAAAAGGAACCAGCATTGGGCACCCGCACGTCCACTTACTGGTGATTGTGGTGGTGAGACTC